GCAGCAGCTCATGGTGGCGGCAAAGAGCAGAGAGCAAATGGGAGGAGTAACAGCAACAGTGGCTACGGAGAGCAAATCTGTCTCTCTTATGTTACATTCAGGCTGTCTGCCCCAGGCTAGTTCAGCACTCAGACCCCTAATCCCAGCAGTAGTAAAATTTATAATCCCAGCCTTGATCATGAATTAATCTCAAACTCTAGAAGTCCCTGCCCCATGACTGCATGAGGCTTTGGGGGGCCACCTAGACATAAACCATAACAACATGCATAGGAGTATTACTCAGACATAAAGAAAGATAAGCTTGAGTCATTGTTGGGAAAACGGATGCAGCTTGAGACCTTAGTGTTGACTGAAATGTATCAACCGCACAGGCTAAAACACTGCAAGATTTCATTTATGGACAAACTCAAACTAGGAAGTAGAATGATGGATCTTTCTCAAATGGGCAGAGGATGAACACATGAAAGGAGGAGAAGGGCTGCAAAGGGGACTGGAAGGTGCTGTAAATGTACGCCAGCTCCACACGAGGAACTGAAATGTACTGCAAGCACAGGCTCCTAGTCATAATTTTTTTAGAGGCTCAGAGTCTCCAGACGTTGATTCCCAGCACCACCAGGGGGGAAATGTCCTAACATCTAACAATGACAAAGGGCCAGTGACCTAAAAGACCAGGGCGGACATAGAATCCTGTTTCCTAGAGGTTCCATCCCAGAATCTGACGACTCAGAAAGAGCTGACACCCAGCCTCCCTCTGGGACCCTCCCCTCCCACGCGCTGTCTTTGTGCGGGTCCCAGCCCAGGAGCCCAGCTATGTTTATTCACATCTTCTGGGGCAACAGCCACCTCTTGGCCCCAAAGCCCTGGCTGTCTGCATGTCCCGCCCAGGTGCTTTCTCACCCACGGAGCTTATCCTATCCTCGAGGCCCTAGCGACGCTCAAATTCTGCTTCTGCTGTTTCCTCTGGGAACAAATTCTGCAAGAAACTCCATCTGCCGCGTGCAGAATTATGGGTTATTCTTGGCTGCAGGCTGGCTCTCGCCCTCAGTGCAAACACAGACCTCTAGACACAGCGCTCTGCAGGCGCGCTGCGGTCTGGCTTCTGCCAGGGAAGCAGACCTTGGCTCTCCCTCTTTGGGGCTGAGGATTTCTCCGCATCGAGGGGGAGGGGCGTGCACCAAAGCAGCAGCAGTTTGGAAGGCATGCACCTTTTTCTGCTCTGATTTCCCGCAGAGATGCAGCCTGCCCAGCCCTGCTCTGGAGGCCTGCCTGCCCCCTTTCCCAGGCCAGCAGACAGCTTCCTCTTCTCTGGAGACCCTGAGTGCAAGTGACCTTGGGACCTCCACAGTGGCATGCAGAGCTGTGTGTGTCTGCCCTTCCATCTCTCTGTTTCTGTGTGCAGGAGAGAGGTAGCATTGTGGGTTAGGAGCTCAGCTTTGATCCGCGTACCCAAGATGTCTTTGACACCAAAAGACTGGAACTCTGGGACCAGCAAGTTAAGAATTTCTGAGGTCAAGTGGGCCTGTAGTCACCCAGATGGGCCTGAGACCCTCTGTGGCACCAGTGTCACCAGCAGCCTTCTTCCGGAAATGATCCAAATACCCATCCTCAGTGGTGAAAAGGATAGAGACGTTAGGAAGATTGAGAGACAGCAGCGGTGGAAAGGAGCGACCTGGGGCTCACTACACAGAGCTGCAGGAAGCTCACAAGCAGAGCATCAGGGGAAGAAGCTGGAGCGAAAGGGCTTGAATACTTGGGATTCCTGCCGTACCTCAGTTTACACCTAAGGAACTGAGTGAACTTAGGACACAGTGGGTCCCAGTTTTTCATACCCCGGAGAGGTAAATATTTAAACTGCTCTGCTAGTAAAGGTGTTGCAGCAACCCCCCAAGGGAATACAGCAGGGGACCTCCCCGCTTCATAACGCTGAAGCAGGCAGAGGCTGAGAACAGGACTAAACAGCAGTGCTCCCTGGGTGGGGACTTAACTAGGCTGGGGACAGGGCAGACCAAGGGGGAAAAGAGCCTTGGAGCTCAGAAAATAATTATTTCTCAGGCCGTATTATTGTCCCTTGGAGCACATGAAGGCTTGAAACTCAATTCCAGCCATTCCATGAAGGACATTTAAAAAGGCTGGCGTCACCGTCACTCTACTCTTCCCTTTAAAACTAATTTTTTTAAAAAAAACAAAAACAAAAATCTTACAATCCCCCACCGACCTCCAAATCCTTTAAAACGCCTGTAATATGACGATGCAGCTTGCCTGGAGAGGTTACCCTGCCGGTCCTTTGAACTGCTAGCTGGCTTTCAGCCTTCCCAAGGAGGCCAAATAGCTACCTCTATGTTTCCCTCTGTTTTCTCCCTCGTTAAATTCCTCAGATGCAGGAGCCAAAGGAAGCCTCATACTGAACCAAATTATCTGTGTTCCACATGTTTCATTTTTTAATCATAAAATACAATCAAACAAAACCAAAGGGCACAAACCCCCTGGCCGGGCTTTTATTACCTGATGGGAACACATGTGACAACCACGCCCAGAGGGAGCCGGCCTCACCGGTGTGAGCCCCTGCCTCTGACGGGGCCAGGCCAAGGAGAGCTCTTTATCTTCTCCTCTGACCCGGGTCACTCCAGAGTCCTCTGTCACCCATGTTTGGCCCCTAAAAAAAGGCTGAGATTCTTCCAGCAGAGGAACTGCTTCATGCAGAAGTAATGCCTTGGAGGACCCAGCAGTGGGTCTGCTTGCAGTCTAGGCAGCTACGCTGGCTGCTCCAGCTCCTCCGAGTCTCTGTGCATTAACTCAGTACACCTGAGGCTTGGGCACGGGTTCCAAGCCACTCAGCGTGCTGGAGCCGAGGATGGAGCTGTGAACGTGAGGACTCTGGTCTCCCTGTGAGAAGCTAGCTTGTGTGGAGGAGGAACCACGCAATCAGCAAACTAAAGAGACCTGTACGGAGCTAGGCGCAGAGCTGGCTAAACTATTAGAGCCTTCAGTGATACAGATGGCCCTACTGTGGCACACGTGCGACGGGTTTGCCACTACTGGTAGGATGGAGCTCAGGGGCAGAGCTCTCGCCTAGAATGCACGCGGCCCTGGCTTCAATCCACAGCACTCCCAAAAGAAGAAAGTATGTACTTCCATCGATATGTTCATAGACACAACTGCATGCACATGGCTCTAGCCATCGCTAAGCACCATGCAAAACAGAAAATGAAGTCATACGATAGAGAATTATGGTAACTGCCTTGCTTTATTATTATTATCATCATCATCATCTGTATTTAGGGCAGGGTCTACAGGGTCTCACTACGTAGATTGGACTCCTAGTGATCCTCCTGTTTTCAGCCTCCCAAATGCTGGGATTACAGGTGTGCGCCACCATGCCCAGTCTCAATCGCCATCTCATCATGACCCATGGGCAGGGCCTGCACAGCACACCAGGGATCGAACCCCTGGCTGCTGCACTCTGCCTATGTAGGCGCTTTAGTCTGCTGAGCTATCAGGCTGGCCATAACTGTGCTGTTTTTTTTTTTTTTAATTTTTTATTTATTTATTTATGAGAGAGAGAGAGAGAGAGAGAGAGAGAGAGAGAGAGAGAGAGAGAGAGAGAGAGTGTGTGTGTGGCCAGCTCAGCCCACCAGGGGGCGGGGCTGGCTGGCATGTGGTGCTGGGGGATTGAACCGCAGTCCCTGATGCTTTTGCTAAGCTTGTTCCAAGTAGGTGCTTTAGACCACTGAGCCATCTCTCCAGCCCCATAACTGTGCTGTTTAAACAAAACAGAACCAGTGAAATCTATTCAGATAGGTTTATTGGGACATAATTCACATGCATTAAAGGAGGGTGGTTGCAAGTCGGAGGATGGTCTGGGCTACCAAGTGAGTTCAAGGGATGTTCCCGTGTTGTCCGGGTGCACTTTCTGGCCTACAGAATCCAATCACTGATGAAATGGATGAGTTGGTATTTGTAGGAATCACAGCATTTCTGTTAATGATGGATTGGACATGTGGGGACGGTGGCTCCTTCAGCTTGCAATGGAATAGGAAAGCCCCTGGAGCCTAGTGGTGTCAGAGCCAAAATAGGTCATAGTCTGACGCATTATTTATGTGTTTTGATACTGGTATTTAAAGAACATACTGTGTCGCCAATCATATAAAACATAACACATACAATTATGTATAATATATAATAGTTGATAATGATTTTTTAAAAAGTAAGTTCAAGGCCAGCCTGAACTGCATAGTGAGACCCTGTCTCAAAAGGAAAAAAAAAAAAAAAAAAAAAAAACGTCTGGCCAAATAGCTCAGTGGAGGGCTGGGGATATGGCTCAGTGGATAAGTGCTTCCCTGGCAAGCACAAAGACCTGAGTTCAAACCCTGTTTCCGGGGGAAAAAAAAAAAAAAAAAAAAAATAGCTCAGTGGATTAAAGCGCCTGTGAGCAGGCGCAGGGGCTGGGAGATCGATCCCCTGGCCTGCTGTGCCGGCCCCACTCTTGGGTACCCTGAGAGGGCATTTGAGACTGGGCTTGGTGGCACACGCCTGTAATCCCAGCACTTGGGAAGCTGTAAACAGGCAGATCACTAGGAGTCTGATCTAGTAGTGAGACCCTGAACACCCTGTAGACCCTTCCCTAAAATACAAAAATAAATAGATAAATAATATAAAAAATAATAAAAACAGAAAATTACTTACTAAGGACAACCCGCTCGGGCCCCCTTCCTGTCCCTCTCTCAGACAGGAGCTTTATTTCCCTCAATAAATATATTCTGCTCATGAAAAAAAAAAGGAAAAAAAATCCCCTACACACTGGATTCACATAGTAAATTAACTATCACACTGACCCTATAGAATGTGCAAACATGTTGTGTCAAACACTAGGGAAAAACTCTCGCTCACTGTGTGCACGTTTCAGTGAGCTGTGGCAGCTGTGTCTAGCTGCCCAGCTACACAACCATCAAGCCCCAGGCCCCGTGCCTCACCCTCCAGGTGTGCCTCCCTCCCTTCTCCAGCTGCCGACAGCCAGTGGTCTCTCGGGGGCCTATCACTTTGTGTCTCTGGAATGCCGCAGAGCTGGAATCATGCTCCAGGAGCCTGGTACGCCCAATTTCTTCATGTCACCCGTGGTGCTGCGGATGGCTCCGCTACGGCAGGCACTGCCAGCCTACTCCCTTCCACCATGAAGCTACTACGTTTCTGTATGTCTGTTTCGCTTCTCTTCAGTAGGACTGCTGGCTCATCTCATAGCCCTGTGGAAAATTTTATTTATTTATTGTTGTTTTTAAATTAGAAACATCTTTTCTTTTCTTTTTGTATTTTAGGGAAAGGTCTACAGGGTGTTCAGGGTCTCACTCCCAGATCGGACTCATAATGATCCCCCTGTTTACAGCCTCCCAAGAGCTGGGATTACAGGCCTGGGCCACCACACCCAGTCTCAATCGCTGTCTCAGTGTGCCCCAGGGGGTGGGGCTGGCACAGCAGGCCCAGGGATTGAACCCCAGGCCTCTGTGCCTAGGTGCTTTAATCCTCTGAGCTATTTGTCTGGCCCCAAAGTGGGATTTTTTAATTTTTATTTTTATTTTCAGGATGCATTTGGTAGTAGGGATCAAACTCAGGAGCTTGCACTTTCCAGGCAGGCCCTTATGCCACTGAGCTATCTGCCCAGCTGTGTATAACTTTAAAAGAAGCTGCCAAACCACTTCCCAGAGCTGCTCTACCATTTTTTTCACAGTCCTCCCAGCCCTGTAGGAGTGCTCCAGTTGTTCCACATTCTTGCTAACCCTTTGTATTGTCAACTTTGGTCATTTTTGCCATGTTAGTGTCTGTAGGATGTATTTTCTGGATGGTTGATAATGGTGAGTATCTTTTTTTTGCGAGTTTATTGGCCAGTATTATGTGAAATAGACTTCCCGTATGTTTAAAATATATAATATTCATTATTTATGCTTAGGCTGGGTAAATTTTTAAAATATTTATTTATTTATTTATTGTATTTAGGAAGGGTCTACAGGGTGTTCAGGGGCTCACGACTAGATTGGACTCATAGTGATCTGCCTGTTTACAGCCTCCCAAGAGCTGGGATTACAGGTGCACACCACCAAGCCCAGTCTCAGTTGCTGTCTCAGCACGCCCCAGGGGCGGGGCTGGCACAGCAGGCCTGGGGATCGAATCCCTGGCCCCTGCACCTGCTTGCAGGCACTTTAATCACTGAGCTATTTGTCCCGCCCAGACTGGGTAAATTATAGAAGACATTGGAATTAAAATTTAGTCTCAGGGCCAGCGAGATAGCTCAGTAGACTGAGCGCCTGTTCAGGCAAGCTCAGAGACTGGGCAGGGGTAGCCTGGGTACAATACAACATAAGCAGGAGAAGAGGCCTGCTCCTCCCCCTTTTGCTCTTGCTGTTTTTGTTGCCTTCCTCCGCCTTGAGCTGCTGCCCTCACCACTCCACCCTGCTGATGATGGACTGAGACCTCCTCAAACTGTGAGCTAAAGAAACCTTTCCTAAAAAGGGGATACAGATGAATGTCTATTTTGTATCTGTGTATTCAAAATGGTTAGGATAGATATATAGTTACATTCTCTTAATGAATAGAGGCATTTATTGTAATAGTGTTTGTAAATAGGATATCATGTCCACAACTTGTACAGCAATTAACCACTAGGAAGAGAGTATGCAATGTGTTAATTATTGAAACTGTCCTACCAATTTGATTTGAAACTGTCTCATTGTTATTTGTCTCTCAATAAAGTTATGGAAAAAAAAAGAAAATAACCTCCTTTAAAAAAAAAAGAAAGAAAGAAAAGATGGGGCTGGTGAGATGGCTCAGTGGTCTAAAGCACCTACTTAGAACAAGCTTAGCAAAGCACAGGGACTGTGGTTCAATCCCCCAGGGACCACATGGCAGCCAGCCCCGCCCCCTGGTGGGCTGAGCTGGCCACACACACACACACACAAATAAAATTAAAAAAAAAATTAGAAAGAAAAGAAACCTTTCCTTCCTTAACTTTGGGTGTCGGGTATTTTTGTCCCAGCAATGAATGAAAAATAACCAAGACACTCTGGTAAACAAAACTTCGGTGCCAACTACCTCTGCTGTCCAGCCTTGGAAGGCACAGGGCGTCTTCTCTCCTCTGTTCCACCAGTGGAGCCATCGCCTGTGTCTAGATTCAGGGAAAAGGAAACTAGATTGTCCCGCAGATGGGGCCAGATGGTGCTGCAGAGTAAGATGCAGGACGTGAGATACTGCCATGGCAGCTCTGGAAAGCAGAATCGGCCACGAGGTAAAACTAGGGAGTGGCACAGCTTGTTCTCGAAACAAATGCTTCGAAGGGGGTGATGAATAGGCCTGACGATGAATAAGCCCCAGCCCTTGAACTTGAGGAATTCCCAAGGCAAGTGGGGCAGACGGGTATGTAAATAAAAACCATACTGTCCCCGAATCTACAGCATGTCTCACATTTGGTCGGCAAAGTCCGGGGGCAGCAATCCACATTGCCTAGGAGGCGGGTGGGGGGCTTGGGCTCCAGGGAATGGGTGGGGCCTCCCAACTTGGGCGGGGACACAAAGAGTATTAGGAAGAAGGGTGTAACTGAGTGGTGCGAGTCTAGCCAGCAGAAGAGGTTGAAGATGAGACTGGAAAGGGAGGCCGAGCTGCGGTAGGAAGGACTCCTAAGTGGAGGCTGGGAGCTTAGCTCCGTTTTGTGGGCACTGGGAAGCTGTATGGGCCATGACTAGATGCTTGGGGGGGCTAAACACAGGAAGGCTTGCAATTGACAGGGGACCACGTAAAGCCCAAAAGCAGCTAGGTTGGATTCTGTAGCTGTCCAGGTAAAGGGCGGAAGGCATGCATTCCAGCACCAAGCATCGAGAGGATAGGGATAGCGTTAGGGAAAGACGGGCTGCCAGGGATACCCCAGGGGTCTGCAAGAGCCGTGAGGGAGCCTGTGAGGGAGGAGGTGGGCTGGGGTCCTGGCTGTGAGCCCCTCCTCCATTTCCAGCCCCGGCTGTGCACACAAGGCCTCTAGGGTCAGCATGGGGGGCCCGCCCCCTACACCAAAACGGCTAAGCCAAAATCTTTGGTTTGGGGCACCAGGCATGCAGATTTGTTTAAAGTTCTTCTGCAGACAAGTGCAGCCCAGGCCAACGAGCCCAGGAAAAAATGCTGCAGTAGGTTCCCGGGACAGCTTAGGGGACGCTGGTTTGGGCAGAGCGAGGAAGGAAATGAGTGACTTTGATTTGGGGGCTTGTGGGGCTCCTGAAGGCGAGGTTTGGCATCACCCTTCTCCAAGAAATATAAATGGTTTAACAGAAAACGGATTCATCCATAAAAACACTGGATCGCTTCCTCCCCAGCGGCACAGCAGACTCATTTGTCCTGTTCCCTGGGGAGCAGCAAGAGAGGTGTATTCTGTCTCCAGCAGCCAGGCATGGTCCTGGAGCTTGCGTGCCAATCTTGCAACAAGAGTAGTTTTTGTCCTGCTCATTTTGTGGAGGAGGAAATTGAGGCTCGGAAGGGCCATGCTTCTGGCCCAAGGCGGCCTGGGGAGGCAGAACCCAGTGCGAAACCCAGGCAGTCTGATCTGAGGGCCACAGGGAGCCCACAGGCACTGCCTCCTCCTCAGTGCCCCCTATATGCTCGCATAAAGTCAATTGGTATTATGATTGCCGCTGTGTTATTACTGCTGTTAAAATTAGTGCCTGTGTGAAACCCAGCCATGCAGTTTCCATCGCCTCCACTACAGACGGACCGTGTTCGTTGCCCGTCCTTGCAACTCCCACCGCAAACCCTCATAAACTGTCACCGTTGCCTTTTCATTGTCGCGGACCTCCAGGCCCAAAGGCCTCTGAGAATTTCACCGAGACTCCGTGGCATATCATAAAACAAAACCAAATGCTCACTTCCCCCGCCCTTTCCCTGAGTATCTGTCAAAGCCAGTGGAGAAATAGAAACCAGAATCTCCAAACAATACACTTCCACACAGATAATAAATAAAATCTCCAACGAGTGGGGGAAAAAGAGCAAGAGTCCCACAAAGGCCGGGGCTTGGGTGCACCAGGCATATTGTACACTGGGCCAAGCAGCAGCCCACAGAGTTGGGGTAAGGAACCAATTGAGATAAAAAAATAAAAAGTAAAAAAAAAAAAAAATAGACGTCCTCACTACATATGCCTTGTGCACGTAAGCGTGTGGCCACAGGCAGGCAGCACAGCCCCCTCGGCTCCTCTTTTCTCTTTTACACACAAATAAATACACATGTTGCCTTTCACGGAGCAGATGCTCAATAAATTCTTATGCAGGGCTTCAAAGTACCAATGTTCGTCGATGAATTTCCCTAGTACACATGTTTATGGGTGACTGCTTCTCCCTTCTCACAACGGCAGAACCAGTGGGAATTTGTTTGGGCCCTTTGAGTTTATTGCAGGGTGTAGCTAAGGTCTCTTAGGTGTTGTATGTCGAGAAATTTCTGAAAGGCAATGACCCCAAGTGGTGAGCAGGGACCCTTCCTAGAAATGTCAGGAGAAAGGGGACTGGTTTGGGCTTGGTTTGTTATTGTTTTACTTTTTATAGTGATAATGCAAAGCAGTTTTATTTTCACTTAAGGGAATCTAGTTTCTACAAACTCCATGCATGCTTCACAGTGGCTTTAGCTGATGGAGGCTCCTGTAGGTGTTCAAAGTGTCATTTTACTTCTAGTCTTGGGCAAGAGGGTCCTCTTGTCATGAATGCCAGTCCTTAGAGGTCTCATTCTGGCCCCTTTCCTGCCACATTCCTCTGATGAGTTGAGAAGATCCCAGCCCATGAAAGCCAGCCCACTAAGAGATGACCTCACTCTCTGGAGCACAGAGTTGACTCCTACTGAATACTGTGCAGGTACCTGTATGTCACATGCAGGGCAGGTGTCCCAGCCTTTTTGGTACCAGGGACCAGTGTTGCGGAAGACAAATTGTCCATGCATCAGGACAGGTTGCTTTGGGGATGTTTAAGTGTTCTGTATACAACGTACATTCATTGTACACTGTATTTCTGTTATCATTACATTGCAATACAAGGCTCTCTGCTGATGCGAACCTGTATCGGCAATCAGGCCCCAATGCTAGCAGCAAAGACTCAGCTCCACCTCAGATGCTCACTCATTAGCTTCTCCTAAGAAGTGTCCAACCTACATGCCTCACACACCCAG